CGGGCTGCGGGCACCATCCCCCCAGCCACTCGGCTTTAACCAACACCCGAACGTTAATGCACACCACCCGGGCGATTACTGCCTGACCCACTGGAGAGCAAAGGTACCTACTCACTCCGATTATCTCCATCACCAGTTTGAGGTGGGGTGCTTGGTTATGCTCAGTGGCACAGGAGGAGCACTCAGACGCTGCATCTGCTCCGATGGCCGTGCTGGGGAGGGAGGCAGCCGTCTCCGGCAGAGCTGGGCTAACAGGGAGGGAAAAACTACTTCTGTCCTTTGCAAAAAGAAAATTTACTAACGGATTTTGCAAAAGATTCCTTAGCTACAGGACAAGCGCTGGGGTCTGTAGGAAGCAAGGGGAGTGCTCACAGCTGCACAGCCAGCACCGCTGCCAGCCAAGCCGTAAGAAAGTGCCCGAACCGACCCAACGGCTCATGCCAGACCAGAAGGGAGGCAGCCCTGCTCCCTCCCACTGCCCCGCACACCCCGGGCACCCGTGCCAGCGCTGGTGACCTCCTTGAGCTCATTCCGCTCACACCCAGGCAGAAAGTAAGGCAGTTCCTGGGAAGCGGATAATATCCTGCTGGGATTAGTGTATCTAAGCTGCTCACAGAAGGCTCCAGCCCTAACCTGACATATATAGGAAGGAGTGGAAACAGACCTACAAATGCTCTTAGAACCTCCAGCAGCAGGTCCTGTGCTCGTGCCCACCCACCACCCTCGCTAACGGAGCGCTGCATGGCTGCACCGCGCTCAGGACCCGCGGCGGGCCAGCAGCATGCAGGAGGAGAGACCCATGAACGGATGAGAAGAGACCACGGTGATGGAGAACTGAACAGCAGTCAATCGGTGCTTGTTCCTCTTCTTGTCTTACAGCATTTCTACCTGAAAACATCCACACCTCAGGCACTGGCATTAAGCACTGCCCCAAAGGCAGCAAAAAAGAAAGGTACGGTCCCGGAATTCATCACGCCCTGGGATGGTTTGCTATGACATGGACCAAAGCTCCAACTGCAAGCTTGTGAAGCTGCCTTTAAATTTCCTACTTAACAGGCAGCAAATAGAAAGAATGCTAAACCAGCAAAATCCGATCACAGCACACCACGCCGGGAATGCAATGTGCTGCTGCAGTCCCGGCGAGAGTCCTGCCGAAGGCCCCGTGAGCTGGAGCTGCGACGGTCACGTTACGCCATCGAAAGGGGCTGCGCTCGCAGCGGCTGGGCACTGCCGGGAGGAGTCAGAGAGCCACTCAACCCCTGTACAGCGGGAGCCCTGAGGCCAACCAGAACACTCCAGAGCTTCTCCACAAAGCTGCTTTCCAGCAGCTCGTCCCCAGCGCGGACCAGTGCGCGGGGTCGCTCCTCCCCAGGGTGGGGGACCCTCCCCACAGGAACTGCCCAAGGGTGACAGTAACACAGGTTCAGGCTCTGGGGAGCGTTTCTGGGGGAAGACGGCTGAAGCCCGGCATGAGATCACTGACTGCCTGAGGGACGAGGATGCGTTCAGCTTAGCGTTACTCCAACAAACACACTTCTACCTACCAGCACACATGCACGACCTGCGAGGGATGTGGGCAAAACCCAGCCAAAGCAGAGACACCCCTGGGAGAATGGACTGGGGACTTGCTCCAGCCGCTTCATGAATATCCCACTTCCAAAAAAATGTATTATTTATGGGCTGTCCATTAAACGTAATCGGATACGCTCTCTAACAGATGCAACGTGATCCCCAGACGTGAATGCAGCAACATTTTTTGTGCTGGTACAAATTCCTGGTGTCAGATTAAGGCTCGAAGGTGACCACGCAGGGCGTGACTAAGGCACCAGGACCAGGAACCCAGACCCAGGCTCACGATCTCATCGAGCCACGGCTTAGGTCATCCGATTTGAGGGACGACACCAAGACTAGCAAAGAGGTCAGGGTCAAGCCCCTTGTTTTGCTCCCACTGGAGGATCTGGTTTTTCTTCCAACCTCAATGACGCTCATGCCTTACAGAGCAATCCTAAACCAGCCCCACCAACACAACACAGGACGACAGTATGAAGGAAACCAAAAATCATTACATCGCTCTCAGAGTTCCAGAATAAGCGACTGACTTCCCGACAGCCTTCTTCCCACCGGACACCTCCCAGGCCAATGGTGCACTCTGGGGAGTGCTGCGGCAGACAGGATTCCTTCCTGGGAAGCCCTGCCTTAGGACGTGAGATTTAAAGAGCTAAAATGCCCTCGCTTCAAATCAAGCTTCGTGTCCAAAAACATTACCAAACTGCACGAGGAAAGGAGGAAGGTTTCCATCCCTGCTGGGAAACCTCATTCCACCTCACAGCTTTTCTTCCCCCGAGCCAATTATTTCTCGACAGGAGAAGTGGATCAGAGCTACCCTTCTCACTCGATACGTTCCTCCACAGTGCCCAAACCTCTCCAAAAGGCAGCAATAGGACAGTCTCGGTTTTAGAGCTAACCCTCTGCATTCCCCACTTCACTACGGCATGCAGAGCACGCAGTACGAGCGCTCTGGAAGAGAAACCCACTGTTGTCCTTACACAGCTTCGGACCAGCATTCCACGGGTCAGAAACATTCAGAAGTTGCAGAAGATGGAAGCTGATGAGATCACGGACAGGCTGGACGCTGCGCAGCTCCTTCACAAGCCATACACAAAAATGAATGCACACAGCAGGGACCTCGCTGCTCTGCTGCAGGATGGAGCTTGCTCCAAGAACTAAACCAAGCCAGAGAGAC